CATTTTCTCAGATAGTCAAGCGGCACTTCAGGCACTTGCCTTACCGGTAACAAATCAAAAAGAGTTAGAGATTGCAAATATGCTTTCAGTTCGACGGCCAATTTAATAGACATCTCTCTCATCTGGGTTACCGGCCATAGGAACATAAATACCAGAAAATGAGAGCACTGATGAGTTGGCTAAGATTGGTGCATCTCTTGATGAATCCGACTCATCAAAAGCGTACTGAATTTGCAATTCACACGTATGGCTGAGAAACGTTGGAACAACTTTCAAACCTGCAAAACTGCGAGGAACATACGGCCGGATTATCAGAAACCAAATACAGTAGAACTTCTAAAACGGTCGAGGAAAGATATAGTCAAGTTAACAGCCCTATAACGGGAAATTGGCCCATTGGCGAACATGCAGATAAAATGGGTATTCCGTACAACCCTCGGTGCCGCAGCTATAATCTTGAGGAAATTAAGGAAACGGTCCTACACTATTTTTGCGAGTGCCCAGTATGGCCACGCATAAGACGCGATACAGTTGGGAGCTTTTCCATCCAAAATCTTATAAAGATCTCCAAATGCCCCATTACTAACTTAAATAGATTAATCGAAAAATCCAAATGGTTTGATGAAAACAACGAATCATGAAAGCAGATAAAATCAAGGATAACAGCGTTTCAAAATGGTGCTATCAGCACTAATTGGGTCCTGGGCATGTGATAAATCTTATCTATAAGTGTTGACCCTAGATCCACTCTTAACATTCTGAGATACTGTTCGAGTTTCTACGTTTACACTACATGCCATTAGAGAAATATCTCTATGAGTACTAAGACATTTTTGGACAGAAATAAAAAACCTAATTAGCAGTAAGAAATTCAAAAAATGTCCAATGGGTAGTCGCTTGAAAAGGTATTGATCTTATTTCCAACTTCAAAATATTTTTTATTACACTCACGCTGTATATTCCCATGGGTCTACACCATAAACTCACTTAGCTGAATTTTATACCCACTGTATATATATATATGTAAATCTCTACATTTTTGTGCCTACTCTTAATTTCCTACCTGGCCATTACAACAGCGCACAGGCATTTATTCTTGCAGCTTCCTTGTTTCATTTTGGCTGTTTGGTGGTTTATTGCCGTGTGACCCTTAGCGAGTTCGCAGCAGTAGGCGAGCAGCAGAATGAAATCCTTTTGGATAAAATTTGTATTTACACCAGAAGCGCGTGTCTGCGGCAACCACACACATCTTTACATGCACACACAAAGAGGATAAAAGTTGCACAAATACAAACGGACAAGTGGATACCTACGCTCACGTAATAGGTACTTGTACTTTGCTTGTGTATGAGTGTGGTGTGTATATGTGAAAGCCTTTGTAGTTCTATACCACGCCGGCCGGTTTAAATTAAATTTACATTTCCCTATTATCCTTATTCGTTCGCTCTTTTATATTGTTGTACAACACTTTATCTGCGATTGCCTTTGTAAATGCCGCCAAAGAAATTAGCAGAACGCAGGACATGCGCTTTTCCGAGCTGTACGTGCTCTATTGGAGAGACTTTTTGACTTGTCGTCAAAGCGGAATGCTTTGGCATTGGAACACCTTTAGAACACCCTCCGTTTAGCAGCTTACATATGAAAAGTGTCTCATATCTTTGTACTCTTCATTCTCTGGGGAATAAAGCTAATACAAAGAAACTAGAGGAAGTTATAAACTGGAATTTTGCAGACTTCTGCACTTTTTTTTTGCCGGTTTTGAAACAAAGGTTTCGAAAGAGAGAGAGAGAGGCACATGAATGCTATCAAGATAATAAATCTTTTGAGAGCTTTATTTCTTTATGTAGTTATTTGCATAATGATTACGTTTTATTGAGAATGGAGTTTATGTGTTTGGGGTTTTTGACTCTTAAACTCTTGTTTCGCTATTACGAAATGGCTGAATGTATTAACTCCCAGGCAGGCATATTGGTGGATTATAAGTGCAAAGCTGAAAAATTTGCGTAAATTGAATCTGTCATTACGAACGAAGTCGACCATTCTCAGACCGTTATTGTACGCTTCCTGGAAGTTTAGATTTCCGGCGGCTGAACCAAAGATGATTTCCTTGCCCACCCTGGCAATGAAATCGGCAAGTAGGATTTTTACTATTATTAATTATCGTTTATAACTTGCGCTTATAGAATAGGTCTACGGTCGCATCGTCTCTCTCTTCGATCGGAGCGTGGGCGTAAATGAGCGAAACCACAAATCTGATGCCGAATATGCGATCCTTTACATGGGAGCTGTAGTAGGCGTCGCAAGGCCCGACGCCTTTTTTGTCTTGACTCGTCTATCGCATTTTTTTTTACTGACGGTAATGTTAGCCTTAGTCTTCCCAAAGACATCAAACAACCGGACAGTGGCAGCCTCCCCATTAAGGGTCCGCAGGTGCCGTTTGCCGTTGACGTCATCAAAATAAGGAAATCTCATTCAGTCATGGGTCTTTTTAAAAGAGAAAAATTCCTGCCTCCATCTACATATGAGGGAAGTGATCTGACCAGCCCGAACCCTTCCGCTGTATTCGGGTTTTGAATGTAGGAGTGTGTAATATGATTGCTTGTGAGCCAAGGGATATCTGGTCTTACCTCTTTGTAGCCAATTCGTCCAACAACCACACCGAAGGATTCCTCCGATCTCTGCTTTGCCTTCAACTTTCTTCTCCTTTAAATCACATTAAAAATTTGGTTGGATTAGAACAAAACACACTGTGGCATAGGAGAGCTTTTGTATTTCAGATATGAGGTGCCGAGCCCTGAAAATTCCAGCTCCATCAATGGATCCTAAAATTGTCATACCAAATGATTTCCTATGCTTAAGGGATCGACTGAAGATGACAACGCCGCTTTAGGGTAGCTGTGGACAGACCATGTATGAGAACGCAATGACGGTTATTAACGATTAACAAGTCAAAGTCATAGCTAGCTAAATGTTGCCCAATCAACCGGGTTTGTCTAAGACCACCACCGCTGCACAGCACTTACTGTTTTCAGGTAAACATTGCCAGCCCTTGAACCAAAAACTATTGACTTTCAGCCTATTTCGATAGAAAATTCAATGGCGGGACCAAAACAACCCTTCTTCTTACCAATAAACATATCTGGAATCAATGTTAGAAAGTCCATTTGACCAGATTTCTAACTGTGGGATTTAGGAATAAATACGGCGAATACTTTCCTTAAACGACACGGATTGTATTCCTAGACAGGATATAGCAATAGTTGCTTACTGTATTAATACTTGAATGCTACCCTCACTGTCAGCAGCTGTAGAGCACCCTTGACCCGGAGAGTCCAGAGTCAATCAATTCATTTGCTGAGAATATTCCAGAGTCCGTCAGTTGTAATTAGTAAAGGTGCCATCTTGCTGCCTTAGAAGCCTTATCTAATTGGAAGTCTCCTTCAATAAAATTTTGTGTAGATGAGAGGAACGGGGCAGAGCCTCCCACGTCCAAATTAGTTCGGTTAGGTTGGAGGGCGTGAATGGAATACTCCATACTTTCACTTGGAGACAGAATTGTCCATTGCGAGAGCCCTCTTCAAGCGAGTGTCAGGAGGATGCAAATACCCATAACCGAGAGAGTAGCTAAGCACTTTCAAGTTATTATTCTATTGAACCAATTACTATTGCTAATGAAGCCGAGGAGTTCCACGTCCGCTATCTCATCCGGACTGTTGAAGAAGCGTGCGCCCAAGTGCTTAAGGCGCTTCGACTGTAGACCCGGACATCGATACAGAAAGTGGTCAATTGACTATTCCACATCCGCATCACGGCAGCTTCTGCAGAGAGTACTTGTTGGTATTCGCCATCGTTGAAGCATTGCAGTTATAGCACAGTACCCTGTGATGAAACCGGGAAGACTCATATTGCAGACCTATTGATTTTCAGTAGATCCCTCGTTTTTTTTCCTACTAAGCCACGGCCATTATAATCTTGTGATCGCACAGTCTTCGCGTTTGTTCGACAAGTAATTAGTCGCGGCCACGGTGAACTCATCAATTTTCCTATCGTAATCACTAAACAATGGTCGTACGGAGCTATCCGCTTTTTCTATTGACACCACTGAGCTTTTTCTGGCCACCTGATCAGCTGACTCATTGCCTTCAATATTACTATGCCCGGGGACCCAGCATGGAGTGACGTTGATATGGCTCAGTCACGCCGTCGTAGTTCGTCATCTCCTGGAACCCTACTACTAAGTAAAAGACTAGCCACCCTTTCTATATTGTAGATCTCTGCTTGAAAGGTTGTTCTCTAGGTTCATCGAGTAGAGACCGGCTTCGTTTCATTGTTCCATTTTTAACTATCAGTGTTGATGGATATACCTACAGCTGCCACTGGCAGTCATGCATCCCATTTTTCGGACTTATTCAACATTTCTGTCTGCAATTTGTTGAGCGGCATGGATTTTTTAAATTTTTGCATTGACGAAAAATATTAAAATTGTCTGAAGTGGCAGCACTGTTCGCATATATGTACCTAAAATCATATGTCTCAAGCGAAGCAAACACCAAAAGGCAGACTGCAGAAAAGACACATAGCCAAAACAGTCCAGAGTCGACAACTCAGAGCGTGGAGAAACGCGGCGCCAGAGCGATCATAACTGCGCAGTCGCGATCTCAGTTCGCAGATGAGATATTTACGATTTGTTTGTTTGCCCACATCATTGCTGTTGTTTTTGTTGTTGTCATTATACGACTTTTATGTTACTTTTATTGCTTTGTTTCTGCAATATCAATTGTTGTGTGAGCGCCTGCCAATTGTCGCAACGTTCCCCAATAAGCAAAATACACAACATAATAGCAACAACAGCAAAAACTAGCGGAAGAAATTCCTGCGTTTCGTGGTGGATGTTTATGCCGTGCGTTGAGGCAAAAATTGGGCGTGCGGGTAGTGGGTGGTCATGGCGACTCAAGAAAGAGCTTAGAAGCATCGCGTTACTTTGGTGCGAAAATCAACCCTCCTATGCTGGGCCGCCAAAGTGTTTCGAATGCCAATAACGGTAACGACTTTGAAATGCTCAGTCAGAGCATCCAGTACGCTGGTGGAAACGAACGGTAAAACTACGCGAGCGCGTGTCTACGAAGTTTCGAACGGCAAACGGTTTTTAAATAGTGAATTTTCAATGGCGACCCTAGCAGAGTGAGCTGCGGTAAAATCAAAGATTCCGGTGTGCATAATGAAAAACATTGAATCGAGAAAAACTTACAAATAGAATTAAAAAACAAGCAGTAATTAAAACTGCCGGAAAAAACTGGCTGAGTGACGTTTTTCTGTGAAGGGAAATTCACGCAAAGCGGTCTTCCCATAACGGTAGTGTACAAGTGTGTGTATTATCGAATATTTATGTGTGAGTGTGCCTGTGTTTGTGTGCATTTCCATTCAGTAGCTGCTCAGAGCTAGACTCATGGGAATGGTTGTGATGGGGGCGAAAGCGAAGGCGGCAATGGTGACGCCAGCGGGTGATTTGCAGCCGCAGCGCTTGTGTCTCCTGGCTTCGTGCTACGAGTTAGCTACATATCTACATAGCTGGTTGGCTGAGCGTATTTGAGCCCAGCGCAGTCAATGTAATAAATCAGTTGGCTGCGGATAACAGCGACGCCAGCGTGTTTGGCGCTTCGAAGATAAATAACGGAATAACGTGTTCACGGTGCAAGCGGTCGTTTGGTCAGTTGGTGTCCATGGCAACACTGTGCTTGCTGACTTGAAATAAAGATTTTCGAGCATTTAACTGATAATAAATTGTGACTTATTTTCGAGAAAGCAAACTGAATTGCGCGGCATGTAATAAATTTGTCATAAAAACTATTTTAAATTTTTGTTTTTAGGAAAGCCCTGTTATAAAATTAAATTTTTTAATATTAAATTTTTTTTATATTGAAAATTCGGCTTTATTAGATATACAATTTAATTTTTTATATTTTAAACATATATATTTTTTTCATGAAAATTCGGATTGATTTACATACATATATTGTATGTTTTAAAGTCAAAGTTAAAGTGTAAAGTTAAAAAATTTGATTCAAACACAACTCTCTTCGTTGCAAATTTTTTCCGTAGTTTTTTATCATCAAAAATTAAAATGTCACTAGTCAAAGTTAAAAAAAGTTACATTATATTATAAAAAGAAATGTATGTATATTTCAAACGTGTTGAACAAGGGAAAACAGAAAATATATTATATATTTTTTATAATTTTAAATAGTAATATTTTTGATAAAAAATTCGAATAAAGTGCACTCACTATACATACATTTGTATTTGCGAAAATTTTGTTAATAAAAACTGGTGAAAACTAGACAAACCAATTTCTAAGTTGAAGCTTGTTTTATCGGAATATTTTTTTTAATTATGTGCTTTAGATATCCAATTTAGTAAAATCAATTTTCTAAATAAAAATTCCTTTTCTTGGTTTGATTATTTTAATAAAAGTAGCTAAAATAAATTTTTTTAATGCATTTGAATTTTTTAAAAGTGATATTCTATACATAAAATTGATTTTTTAATAATCTTAAATTTTGCATATCATTAAACCCTAAGAAAATTATAATCCACATTTCACTCAACAATTTTTTTTTCATTTTAATTCGCAAGTATGTATTTTATTATAATAAATTGTTTTTTTTTGCGTCGATAATTAAGCTGGAAATTTTTTTGGTATTTTAAACTGCAATCCATTTGTATTCGTACAAATTTTTAATTAAGCAAATATTGAAAAATTGGTAATAATATTTTCTTCTGTAATTTTAATATTTTTTTTTAATTTAAGTTCTTATTTTTTCAATTCATCACCTTCCGTTAAGTTTTGGAAAACATTAGTTTTACCGTTGCAATTTAAACAAATTTGTTCTGAAAGGCATTTTAAAATTTTTTTTCTGTAGTTTCACTTTCTTTGAAAGTTTAGTTTTTTAGTGGGGTTTTTCAATTCATCACCTTTCGTTAAATTTTGGAAAACATTAGTTTTACCGTAGCAATTTTGAAAAATTGTTCCGATACTTAGTAATAATACTTGCTTTTTGAAATTTAATTTTTTTAACTGATTTACTTTGGAAAACCTAAGAAAACTAAGTTTGAAGTGGATTTATTGGTTGGAGTCGATTAACTGGAAAAAAAACTGGAAAACTTTGGCATTTTAAAATTCGTTTTTCGTTAAATCTTTATTATTAATTTTCAAAGTTTTTGTTTTTTACAAAGTTTTTGAATATTCTTTTACTTTAAAAACACTGATTTTTTTTACAATTCATCTCTTTTTGTTCTATTTCGGAAAAAATTTATTACACTGCTATAATTAAAAAAAAAAAACTTCCTTTATTTCTTTTATTTTTTTTTAATACCAAAATAAATTTACTTTGTATTGGTAATGGCGGATTCATTATAATTTATCGCTGGAAGTTCGAAAAATTTGTTTTCCACAAAAATTTTAATTTTTTATAATTTTCAAATTTCTTTCAATCTATGATTTTTTTCGGGTTAAAACTCGTGGTTTCTTCAGAATGCATCGTTTTTCTTTAAATTGTAGAAAATGTAAACTTCTTCTGTTGCAATTGTTTTTGAATATAATTTTTTTTTTGTAAATTCATGTATTCTCCCGCTTCCTTAGCTGTTTAATTACAAACAAATAGTTTTTTTAAATATTTCAGGATGGATTTTCAAAGAAAAAATATGTAAGAGTATTTATTCATATATAAAGGAGTACGTATTTATGTGTAAAGGATTTATGAATCTACTTATGTACAAACGTAATATGTATATGAGTGCATTAAAAAAAAACAGTCCGCAACTAAGTTAATTTTTTGTGTTCAATTAAATTGTTTTTATAAAATTTTTGTTTAAATTATTTTTTTTGCTTTTGATTTTTTAATTTTGTACAGCCAATGTTTTAAATAAGTACTATAAAATGCTGCATATTCTTTTTAAAAATTATAATTTTTTCGTACAACTTCTATTTATTTTTTTGTCACTTTGAATTTGTTGAAGAAGTTTTATAAGTCGTCTCGAGTCCACTGGACAACATCAAAACAAATCGAAACAGTTTCCTGATAAAATATAAAGAAGAGTAAGTTTTAAAAGTGCTTAAATTACAAGTAAATTTCTTACGAAAAATTACAAAATAACTATATTTAATCAATACAAAACAATTAACGAACAGTTGGAAATTTTCAATATTGATTGATCGATTGATAAATTTAACTGTCTCTTAAAAATAGCTTCAAATTTCATAAAATTGCATTGCAAATATTTCTGCAAAGCTTTTTTTTGTTTTTCTATTTTCCTGCATTCCTACGCATTTGTCAACAAACCACCACCGGCTCTGCTATGTTGGTGCGATATGAGCGCAGCCAATACATATGTATGTAGTTAGCAGTAGCAGCAGCAGCCTCAGAATTTACCCGACTAAATAAATCAATAAATGTTTAAGCGTTGAATGCGTGCAAAGAAAATGAAAAGGCAAAAGAAAATGGAAAAATGTTAAACATTTGAACAAAAGCACTGAGATTTAAATAATACTTAACAAAACAAACTAATTTAAACAAACAAACTCACACAAAACATAAATAATACAAAGGAATAAAAACAATAATAAACGTTGTGAAATTTGTATGAAAACGCAACAACAAAGCCAAACGCGAAGTATCGAACAAACAGCGCCAGAGAGAGCACAAGTGAGCAATTAATTTAACGCTAGCCTAAGCTGAGCGCAAAGCAGCGCCGGCGTAGAATGCATTGTGGAAAAATTTGTGTGTCGGTATGTGTGTGGGTGTATGGCGGCATGTGTGTGGCTTTTACGACGTTTGCCTTTTGCACAGTGAGAAATCGCTGGCAAAGAAAAAGATAAGACTGCGCAAAAAGCAAATAAATAAATAAACAAGTGAACGTAGTGTCTACGAACTGATGCCAAAAACGAAATAAAAAATTGCAAAAAGATAAAACTTTAAGTAAAGCTGAAACAGCTGTGAATACAGCTGTAGAATTTATGCGAGCGAAAAAGCTTGCCAGCAATAGTGGCTCGAGCGTGTAAGCGACGGCATGGGTGTTATTAGGCGCCAGTGACTAGCGTTTTCTATTCATATGCTATTAACTACTTTTCTTCTTTGTTTTTGTCCACATAGCAGCCAATGTCAATGCGTTAATGTGTGTACGAACTCGGCAGCTGTGAAAAACTATGAAAAATTGAGAAAAATTATGCCTTAGCAAGGAAAAATTAAAAAGTTAATGAAAGTAATGTCAAAAAAGTTTCCGTATATATATACATATGTACCTATTTTCTTCATTTTTCAATTATAAACACAATACCCACTCTGCTGTTGGCCGGCCGACTCAGCGGCTGCGGCTTTAACAGCGCTGTTGTTAACAGATTTAGCATATATTTTACAGCGAAAATAACAGCAGTTGGAAAGACACAGTGGGATAAATACATATATTACACATGTCCTATAAATAATAATTTTATTGCGAATTCATTTTACACAAGTTTGCTAATTGCTTACTAGTTTTTAATTTATATTGCACAGAAAGAAATAGACCAAGGGGTCGAACAAACGGAAAAACAAAGAAATTTCCCAGAGCTTCCTTAAAGGCGCTCGTGAGATTTTACTTCTTCCTTCGCTCGCTTAACTCGCTCTAATCAGCCACTGTCCAGCGATTCTGGACAGCTTCCTTTTAATAAACTGTCGAATTACTAATCAGAATTACCCATACAGTCCAAAAGTGATTATCTCAAACGGAAACTATTACTTTAGAGCCATTCCAGGCTCCGAGAGAAATAAACCTAGCATCTGAGCTGATTACCCATGTCAAGACCATTGTTGAGAGAATCTGTTCAGCGCCATAAGTGATTATCTCTGATTCATTTTTGTATGCTAGGGCTTGTCCAGATTCTATTGGGTGAGAACATTGTTAAGAAAATCTATTAAGTGCCGGAATAAGCTATCTGTAGAATGGATTTACATGCCAGAGTCTCTTTGGGTTCATCGTTCCATCATATGCGGTATTCGGCGTGGAGAACGTTTACAGGCTAATAAAATTTACGCTTTCTTAATCCAGTGTATCCACATAAATTCATTATTTTATTTATTTATTTGTGCCTCACCATACATAAACCAAAAGTATGTTAGAACATATTTTTTCAGATCTTTAGGGAAGGCTTTACCTGGTGACTTTGACTAAGTACAATCCAACCAAGTACAGTGGTTCGGATCGCAAATCTAGCTGAACGAAACTATTTAAACAAATACTCTTTGATGGATTTTTACAGAACTTCTTATCTAGGGGATTTTTGAGTTGATGATTACGAATCTGAAGTCATTTACCAA